AAACAAAACGCGAAGAACTTCACTTAATCCTAAACTAAAAATGGGGGGTGTGGGGCGAATGCGCTTGCTCGCTGTTATCCGCTAGCTCGGGCGGTATGTGTTTAAGACTATGAATGCGCGCAGATTGAAAATCACAAACACGCGGAAAGTTTACGACAACGCAAACACAGGCGCATACATAACCTACAAACATAGCGGGACAACAAAATGCACAGCAACAAGAACAACAATAGCGGCGACGAGCGTAATAATAATAACCACTGCAACTACTTAAAGAACAACGACAATAACAAATAACAATAACAATAACAACAAAACAGGCTGCACATCAACATTAACGTAAAACATCAGCGCAACAACAATGCGGTCATGCCATGCTATACTATGCTCTGCGATGCGGTGCGGTGCTGTTGGGGGCGGTGTGATGCGTAGGGCACACCGGATGCGGCGATTACTTTTACAATAACACTAACGATATGGAAAAACTTTAGTAATTTATGTAACATAATTATTCCAGAAAAGTAAAGAAGAGAAATAATAAAATAAAGCTTAATAAACCAGCGCCGCCTAACAAGCTGCCGCTCAGAGTGCGGCCGAGAGGAAGGAAACAGCGTGTAAATGCGTGCTGTGACAGCTACGACAGCACATAACGTAACACCGACATGCGCGGCATGGATAACGGGTCGAGCAGGCGTGTACTTTTGTGACATACAAGCCGCAGGATTAAGAGGTGTGAGGAGAAGCTGTGAGAAAGTTGTTCTTAAATCTGTGTCTATCTGAGAGCGCGCGGTTACGGTTTGTACAAATTTAAAGACATCAAGTCATTCCAAGATCGTTTTGACAGTTGACGTTACTCATTCACTGCGGTATACAACAGCAACGGAGTATTACTAGTTTAAAGAAAATATTGATTAAAACGGCTTCGAATAGATGTGAGATACACGGAGAGAAGAAGAGAAAAAAATTCTGAGCAATTTTTGCCAAAAAGGTGGAGTGTTTTCTCCTTTTCCATGGATTCTGGTCATTAACGACATGCTTAAAATACTTAAAGATCGCGGCTGCAGGGTGATTGCCTATGTAGACGATGTAACTCTTATGGTGAAAGGAAGGTTCCAGAGCACTGTTTACGAATTATCGCAGGGGCACCTAGGCGTCGTAACAAATTGGGTAGTCCTAAACCGAGCTGGATTTATTCACCAGAAGATACAAGATGACGGCAGTACCGCCACCGCGAATGGAAAACATCCGTCTGCAACCAGCAGACACAGTGAAATATTTAGGGCTCATTCCGGATAGGAAGCTTTCATAGAAGCCGAATATCGAAGAGAGAGAAAAAGAGGCATCGATTGTCTTGTACTGCTGTAGAGAAGCCATTAGCAAAAGGTAGGGTTTCTCACCGAAAGTGGCTCTCTGGATCTACGATACCATAATGAAATCCATTATGTTCCTGGAGTTTTTACGTGGTGGAAGGCTCTAAGAAAGACCACACTAGCAAAGAAACTCTAGGTTCCTGAAGGAACACGGGTCTGAACACTCCGAAATCCTCACTTACTTTGAGTTTTAAGAGTATGCTGACCAGAATGAGTCTTTACGATGAACCAAAGTCCACGAAAGTTTCCAGTATGACAGCATCCTATGTATTGTGTGGCTAGTTACAGTAGGAACAGCATAAGTTGGACAGGCATAGTTCATTGAAGCTTTGCTGTGCTGGCAAGTTCTTATAGTAAAAACTGAAGAACTGTACTTCATCTGTCTTAATTCAGCAAAAAGCAAAAATCTGCTTGAAAAGCTTTTCAATTTTATGCAAAATTTATTGTCACTGTTTAAAGAGTTTCTTCGAAACTTATTATGAACTAAGACCAAACCTACAGAAATTGTATAGTCTCTTAAAGAATTTGATATTAACTGGAAATTCTGACTTGAAACCCACTTTGTCTGAGAGAAGTCGAAGAGAATTGCCAACAAAGACAGATCGCGGCCTGAAGTTCTAAATTTACGACAAACATTTAGTGTATAGCGGGACTCAACTTCATATCAACAAACTTTACCTTTACCTACTCACTCCGCATTCCAGTTCTAATGTTTGGATGGTAATATTAACAAAAACCTTCCTACTGGCCAACCAATCTGAACAGGGATTTCTCAACGCAGTCAACTTCATCTAAAATACCAGAGACTATTTCTCGATTTATCGATTCGCAAACGCAATTTACACTCACTAATATCGTCTTCGAGATTCGAGTTTCGTAGAAAATTGTTTACAGGACAGAACTTGAGTAAAGAGACTTCATTAAATTTCATTAATTTAATGACGGTAAAAAGAAAGTTAATTTCAATTCACGTTCTCCAGGCCAAGAGCACTTAAATAATATAAAATTCGCGCAGTGTCATCCTTCAATTTACACCACCATCCAAGGAACTACACACACATTGCTTCCTTACATTTTCTAATAATTTTGCTCTTAATTTTACTTTTATTTCTTCTACACTGTCATTAACGCCCAGAGGTCTATTTGACATCATTAATGGTTGTAAACATCAACTTAATCTTAACGCAAATTTGAACGTCATTCTGGAAAACTTGAAGACGCGCTAACAAGTTGAAGCGCGTGAATAAAAAAATTGCACCGAACATAAAAGAAAAATCTCGGAAAAATAGCAGATGAAACTTATGGCCCCCAACAGTGCAAGAAGGCAGAAAAAAATGCGAGGAAAGTAAGTCAGATAGCGTCGAGAGTTCGACACGTCACGCAGCGGCAGTCACGGTGAGTATAAACGAAACTGCTGAAGACTCGAATGACAAAAGTAAGCGCGCGAGCGGACGAGCCAACGACCGAGCAAGCTAAGTGCTGTCAGTGGCAACGGCGACTAAACGGAAATTAATAAGCACATTCTAATGATTGTTGCAAAAGTTATCAGCATATAGCGGCGCAGTGCTGCATAACTGTAATTGGTCACTGGAGAGGTCATTAGGGGCAACAAGTTGAAGTATATTTTCTTTCAAGAATTTTAGTTATTTATTCTATTTTTTCTTTCTTCTTTAGCATTATAATTTTTGTCTTCGTTTTTTAGGAAGTTTGCTGTGTCATGACAAAAAAATCACACAGTGATTAGTTTAATGGAAAAACTGTATTATAATATATGTATTAGGGTTGTTCTTATTTTGCGGAAAGTGTAGGTCATTTGTATGTGGTATGCATATACATATACTATGCTTGAGAAATGTGTTAGTACAGAAAGCACTTATAGAATTTATACACATCCCATCCCCTCACTTTTCAAAAGCCGAAGATATAACGATTTTATCGGAGGATCGGAACGTCACTCATATCCACCAGCGTTCGTGTTCATTTATTTATTTATCTCAAGTAGTACATTGAAGAAGTCGCACCATAGTAAACTCGCCATGTCTGAAACCTCGTTTGGTATCGAACGGCTGGGAGAGGTTCTTCCCGATTCTGATAAGGCCTTTCGTATTGCAACCACACTGTACTTGGATTGTAGGGTTTTCCTTTTTGTGAACTGGATAGAGCACAGTTTAACTCCAATCGTTAGTCATGCTTTCTTCCGACCATTTTCTACGAAGAAGCTCTTTATCAGTTCTTCACGACCGTGTGCGAATAGCTCGGCCGGCAATCCATGACCCACTTTTTTGTTCTTCAGCCGGGTACTTGCTATTTCATGGTCGGCAATAGAACGTTTGCCACAACGTCATCGATTTTGAAATCGTGTTCGCTTTCTCCTAGCGTTATACCTTCTCTGCCATTCAGCAGGCTGGAGAAGTTTTCCTTCCATTCTTTTGGTATGATCTGATCATCAGTCACTAGATCACCTGTGGGGGATCAACAAAACATGCTCCGGGTTTGAAATCTTTTGTTAGTCGCTACAATTTTCAAACAGCCAGCTTGTGCAGCTCTTCTTTCGGTACATCTCTTTTTCAGTCTGCAAATGCGTCTCGCTTCCCTCTTCAACTCTCGGTATCTATCCCATCCTGCACGTATTGTAGTCGATTGTAATGTTGCGAGGTAGGCAGACTATTTTTTATTTTTTTTTTCACTGCGGCACGGCACTCCTCGTCATACCGGCTGTTCCTTTGCATTTTCCGAAAAGCAATGGTTTCGGTTGAAGCTGTACGTTAGGAGCTTTAAATGCCGTAACACAGTTCCCTTATACCGAGTGGCTGATTAGTGCCCTCAGAGAGCAGGTGAATTCTTTGTTGCACAAAGGCGGGTGCGTATCTTTTCTATAACCAGATAGTGATCGGAGTCAATATTTTCTTGAATACTGCAGACGTGTCTTTCGTCTATCACAACTTGATCGATATGGTTGGTGGCTTTTCGATCCGGAGGCATATTCCTTCCCGGAACAAGATATACTAAGTTTTTGCAAAGTGTGCAACCCCTAAACGGGAGCGTCGAGAATTTATAAACATATATGTGCTTATAACTAAATGATCGCCCTAACGAGTTGTGTCGATTTGACTATGTCTGTTTGTCCGCCTGTCTATATATTTGGGAACTAGTCGCTAAGTTTTTGAGATATCATTCTGAAATTTTCCACATGTCCTTTTCTACCCAAGAATCTGCGCATTCGACGGAATATCGCCGATATTGGACCGCTACAGCATATAGCTACCAAACAAACTGAACGAAAAAAAGGTCTAATATTAACCTGATTTTCTTTAGAACACCCCCAATGCACTGTAATTTCCCTAACAGTATTTCGTTCATACTTGGCATTTTAAACGCTTTCCCCCCACCTAATCACCTTAAACCCAACCAACTTTCGGTATAAGTATATCATTTTTGCGAACTAATGAGTTTGACAAGATACTTACAAAATGCTACATACAACATTTCAGCCGGACTTTCCCCCCCATCGAACACACTTCTAATGCACTCACATTTTCGAAAAAAAAAGTTACAAAAACGCGCGAAGTTGAATTTCCAAAAACTAAGCGCTCTGGTTTGAGTGAGTTGTTGTTTTTGTGGTTAACTTACCGCCATCACAGGGAAAACTCTCAGCCAACACGGTGAATAATTTATCCGCGAGCAGGCAGCGTCCTCTGGGCCCTAACGGCACACGACACACCGGACATTTGACCGAACGACTGCGGCAGTTGTTGCACAACACATGTCCGTTACAGCACTGCCAACCAGGTGGCCGAATCACCTACAAATAAACAGCGAGCAAATAAATGTTAGACACGCTTTGGCATATGTATGTGTGTGTTGTTGGCTGATACAGCCATACATAAGTGTAAATATATATGTATATGTAATTAAAATTGTTGATATGCATCACGTTTTGTGGTTTGGTTTAGTATATTTTTGTATGTGTGTGCCTCATTAGTTTTTTTTTTTTTTTTTTTTTTTTTTTTTTTTTTTTTTTTTTTTTTTTTTTTTTTTTTTTTTTTTTTTTTTTTTTTTTTATTTAAAAATTTTTTACAAAATTAATTATATTAAGCAAGCACGCTTAACTAACACGCAAAGGCACACACGTGCACACATACACACACATTCACATGTGCATAATTTTATCTACAACAACAAAGTGCGGTTTTATACAAGGAAACGCTAATGTAGAAATTCTAACACAACGCAATTACATGAACTAATTATCATAATATGGATATGTTATAGTAAAGCTCAGTGGTCCCATTGACACACCGTGTACACCACAATAAACACGCAACAACAAAGTGACATAGCTAAACAAATATACAGACATATGTACTCATTTGACATGATTGCATGCTATTTCTATAGAAAAATATTTAAATAACAGGAAAACTGCAGAGTTTTGTTACAGTTTTACTATGGATCATCACTCGACTATGAAGAAATTTATTAGAATCTCTACCCTGGACCGGGTGTGAACTATATACTTTAGCATCGAACGGAACAATATGATAGTCAGAGGTGGCAAGGTCTGTACTATAAAGAGGGAGAAGAAAAACTTCCAAGCCGCTGTTTACGAAATAGTCTTAGGCGATCTTGCAACATGAGGCTAAGCAGTAAAGCATTACCCTGGCGCCATAGATAATCGCTTTGCCGTTAATTTGTCTAGTTGAACAAGTTTCACGTATGAGCTTTTGCCTTTAAGATGTCGTAATGGATCTATTTTTCATCATCAGTCATAATTAAATCCAAAAGCGATTCTAGCGTTCAAGCAACATTTCTGACATGCAAAATCGTCTTTCAACGTGTCATGTCGTTAAATCATATTTCACCGGTTTTTCTTCTTTTTAAAGGTTTTCGGCCGCTTTAAAACGAGCGAGCTCTTCATACTTGAATTAGGCAATAACTTTCATCAATCCATTTCTTCAAACTGCTATGGCTACCTAAGGCGATCTTTGTCTGTCAAGGCAAAATTTTGACATAACCGCAACGCCAGAGCCTAATCTCTGCAAACTCACATTTTTAGCTGAGATTTTCTTTAAGTTAAAGTCATGAAGAAGAACTCTACGCAAAAATACTTTTTGAGGCACAATGTTTAATTGAAAAAGTTGTTCACATTTCAAATGAATGACATATACTGAAAAGGATGAACATGCCTTAAAGCTTTTCAAAGCTTATTTGAAACATTTTAACAACGGCCAACGGTACGCCAACTCTTGGCAAATAGGACGACCATTCGAAAATTGTATTGAAAATACAACAAATACAAATTTATACACTCTATAAGTATTAGAGTAACTAAGAGAGGATTAGAGCTTTCTCTGAAAGGACTTTTACCTAAACCGTCATGGCAACTGCCAATGAGAATGAGCCGAATGATACAAGACACAATGCGCATATCTGTCGAAATACGAGTTTTCTGATAGCTTTCATTGAGCTTTTTTAGAAAAGCCCTGAAGCTTCGAAATATTGAAGCCTCTAGCTCTTATTCTTACATAAATGAGGGAAGGATGCTGTCAGCCATGATCACAAAACTGAGCTAAAACAATTTAACTTTATGTAACAATCAAACATGTGAATTGCAGAAGTTAGAGCCCATGAAAAGTTGTAAAAAAACACAGATGTTTCGACAACTTCAACAAAGTCAAAATTGAAACTATCCGATATACTGACAGTTTTTCAAAGTACTAAAAATTTGGGAATTTACTTATATTATTTAAAAGATTTAATGTTCGACGCATGCTTAGAAATAAGCTTTGCTATGACACCTTTTTTTTAGAGATCATTCAGTAAATAGAACAGGAGTCTGTGTAAAAAAAAAATATTATATAGAAATGTATAAGTAAATGGTGATAAAGAACATGTGATCAAGTTATGAAGAAGAGAGTAGAATACATGAGATCTACTGAACTACTTGTTTTGAGTAAACTTCGTCTTGCCGCAATCGCAGGGACTCTAACTGGAAGCAGTCCAATAGGTATTAATAAGATAAGGCTAAACATCCTGTAGGAATCTAGCTGTCAGAGTTGTATGGAACGAAAGGAGGTGGATGTATCTAAACACTTTCACTCCCATTACACGGCCTTTGCACGTCTGAAGCTAAAGCATCGCCGAAACTGAGTTAAGGTGGCTATAACAAATTTGTGATAGACTAAGCGCTTTGTTGTTTTGTAATCCAAACATATAAGAATTTTTAGGTACCACAACAGACCAGCATTCGGAACTGTCCATGTGAGATCGCTGTTAGAATCGACCACTGGATCTAGCCTAGCCTAACCTAACCTAGTCTCACCTAATGAAAAACAGCTTCATTTATACCCAACTATCAAATATGATAACCCATTGAGAATCGCACGTATTTGACAAAGTTATCCGTTAAAATGACTATGACAAGTTAAGCGCTAAAGATAACAATTCTTCAAATAATATACGTGATATATAATCACTAACACAAAAATATAGTTTAAGTTGTCATGATATGTGAAATTAAACTTATTTTAATTAACAAGTAATTTTACAACTTAAATGTACACAAAACTCAATTGCTACTTAATGTACAAGCAATTTTCAATTATAACAAAATTGATGAAATAATAGTTCAATGATATATAATAAATATATTTGTAAGATGTATGACAACTGTTGCACGTAAAGTAAAAGTAAACAAAAATTTTCGAATTAATTTAAGTTATATTGCCATTAAATTAGAAAATATACGTACTAAGATGATTGTGAAGTGAGCAAAGGAAAATATACTCTGTAGTAAATATGTATGTATGTATAGGTGATGTAGTGAGAAACTGGTTGATTTGGTAACTACTACTGGATATTGAAGGTACTTGAATACATAATTTAGGAAATCTTACTTGAACTGTGAAAAGAAAATCTAAAATGCCACTCTCAAGGGTACTTTTGAATTGAAAGAGGACTTCTTTAAAATCTGAGACTTTGTTGGAGGCATTCAAGCTTGAAGATCAAGTGAATAAACTATTTATAAACAGATATTTGTATGAGAAGCTGATGAGCTTAAGGAAGTTCTCTTTAAGCGTAATATCATCACACGACATTAACTTGGGGAACCGTTTTCCTCTATGGCTTACTGCTACTGGTTTCTGTAATTATGTGATTACAAAGCTCCTCTGACACCTGGTAAATGATAAAAGTGTTTCACGACAACAGAATTGAAACTAGCTCAGTTTAAGCGGAACACTCTTGATCTTCCATCTCTATCAACAGAGAAGGACTAGCTGCTGTCTAAAATAAAAATCAACCATTCTCATAATGTGAAGGATTAGATTTATACTAGACTGATAAAGATAGAAAGAGGATAGAGATATTTTTTTCTGGACTCAAAATCAGGGCAAAACTCTGCGAAAGATGTATTACAAATGCAAAGACGTTTGCAAAATCTCAAAGGAAATGTCGGAAACCCTACAATAGATATAAAAGCGATCCATTTCGAGTTCGAATCGAATTCGTTCGAACGAATGTTCATTATTATTCGAAGGAACATTTCTTGGCATTTATTCTTTTGAAGATTATCTCATTAAAATATTGGTCGTGTCTACGTCACAGATGGTCTATTCGTTTAGTCCATTATTCGATGAATCGTTCGGTGATGTTTTACCTTAAGGTCTGCGTCGAAGCCGAATTATCCGTATAGACTTTAGACCTTACATACCCCATAGGAGAACGTCCTCAGATATGATATCTTCTTCTTCTTCTTAATTGGCGTAGTTACCGCTTACGCCATTACAGCCAAGTTAACAACCGCGCGCCAGTCGTTTCTCTTTCCGCTACGCGGCGCCAATTAGATATTCCAAGTGAAGCCGGGTCCTTCTCCACTTGGTCCTTCCAACGGAGTGCAGATTTTCTTCTTCCTCTGCTTTCGTCCATCCGGACAACATAAAACATAGCCGCTGTCTTTTAATTCGCTGAACTATGTCAATAACGTCGTATATCTCGTACAGCTCATCGATGTGATATCACACGATCGACGCAAAACATGGAATTATCTAATCACTGAAGTATACTCTTGATAAATCTATTGATCAAATAGTCGGTTATCATGGCGCAATAAAAATCGCCCTTAAGGCCTACGTTCTTATCGGCATCACTTTTGAAGAAATATGCTCCGATAATTCCATCGGCCCACAAACCACACAGAAGTGGGCTCAATAAATTTTGGCTCGCAAACGTCGGTTCCTCTTGCAACTTTTCCAGACCCCATAGAGCGGAGCGAAGTCGCTTTACTTGCATTTTTGCTTTCACTCAACGAGAGCTCATTCGACTGCCTACTGGGTATATATGCACTTTCTCATATAAGTCATTCATAGATATGTATAAGTGTGCAAATTCAAAAGTCAAGATAACAAAAACTACACATGAAACCATAATTCAACCACAAATACAACCACAATGATAGAATTAAATTATGACAAAAATGTTAATTCCATTTGTTGGCAGACGAATAAGAAGGAGAAAATTAATAGCTACAAATAAAACACTGCAATGCTGGGTATTTATTGTATAGGTATGCATCTTAATATATGTATGTAAGTATATTTGCATATATTTATATACATTGATAATATAGACAATCTATGGGTTCTTATGTGCCGAAGTCAGTCTCCCCTTGGTGGAAATCTTTGCTTATTTGCTTACCGCGTATAGAAATAGATGATCATAAATATTTATTTAACTGTAGATATATGTTTGCATATGTATATATGTATAGAGAAATGTTTATGTAAATATACATAACAATAGCTT